CGCGTATGGCATGCAGTATATCATCCAATCGCGCCTCGCAAAATCATCGTTATACAGGTAGTGCTCAATGCTCCACGCCGCTGCCTGATCACGGACTGCCGTTATCAGACTTCCCTGGATATGACGCTCCGCCCGTTGCTCGATCGTCTCAGGGCGATCCTCTGGCGGTTCTTGGCCGTTCACACATACCGTCGATGCGCCGTGTTTGTATTGTCATCTGGTACAGGCTGGTCGAGTCGTCGCCCTGCTCCTCCTGGCCCCGCGTCCCCTGGTTGCTCGTGGCGAAACTGCCAAAGCCTAGTTGTGGGACAGGATGTGGGACGGTATGTGCAGGATGTATTTCTGGGCTCTCACTCTGGGGTTGCGCCTCGATCACCATCATCCCTTGCTCGGTCCCATCTTGGGTATGTACACCGTGTTGAGGGCATGTATTTCGGGAGCTGTTGTAGTGTGCGCCTCATGTGCAGGATGGGGTAGCCTTCCTCCTCGTCTGGTTGTCTCGATGGCACTCACGGATCGTTCTTCACCCCTTCGAATGCGATTTACAACCCGAGACTGACGATGTGCTTGATGGGCCTGGAGTGTCAAATATCTCCTCGCTCTCGTCATCCTTGCCATCTGCTCAATCATGTAGTTGGCCCACACATCAGGGTTGCGGGCGAGCAATGCTGATAGTCTCTGCTGGCTGTTGCATCGCGCAATTCCCCCACTGCACCATACCCCATTGCAGATCTCAATAGCAGCACTGTTGCATTGATCCCATCTCATTATTGTCGTCATGGCGAAATGGTTGCGCACTGCAGGTACACACCAATCAATCCAGTCCTGTCGTGCTGCCTCGATTGACCAGAGGAAAGCTTCTGCATTCCATGCATCAACCATTGATCGTAGACCGTTCTCAATCGGACCTTGAGGACGGTAATAAGTGTTGTTGTCCGAGCTGACTATGACAGCTCTGGACATTTCACGGAGGCTCTGCAATTGACCCATGAGAGCATGTCCGTGATCATCTAAGGTATTGACCGACTTTCCCCAGTCGATGTGAAACTGCTCGCTGTTGCCCACCAGGGTGACGTCGAGCATGATGGTATTAGGGCTTTCCTCTTTCCCTTCAGGATTGCCATGTATTGATGTCGCCAGATGGTTGTGCCTTTCACGTACCATTCTCCAGCCTCCATCCTTTGTGTCGTTCACGCTGCCGTCCTCGTTGCAGACGTTGCCGCTGCTGCCGCACTCGCATCCACTGGCATCCCTTCTGGCTGAGCTGGTAGCTGATGGTACTTGTGCGCAGCAGGATTGGGGTCGATATGCCTCCGAATTGCGCCACCAAGCTGCTGAACTGGTCTGATCCTGGTCCTGGTAGTCGTGGCGACTCCTGGGTTGGTCCTGCAGGCTGTGTCGGTGCCAGGTGTGCGGGATCCACCCAGGGGATCTCCTCTGCAGAGTTGGCTCTCGCTGCCTTGGGCTGCGGCTGTGGCGCTCTGTGCGCGCCACCCACCACCTCCCACTGCACCGTCTTGGGGTCCCTCATGCATGGTCCCAAGGCTCCCTTTACTGCCATCTGCGCTGCCGCCGCTGCCGCCTCCAGGTCTGGAAGCCCCATCGCTGCTGCGGCCGCTGCTGGGGAGAGCTCCGCACCAGACCACTGTGGCGCCGTCTGTGCCGTTGGCCCCGGTGGCTGCGGCACTGCTGCAACCGGTGCTGGCGCAGTAAACCCCATCGCCTCCAAGGTTGGCGGCTGCCTTGGGATTGGCCCCAGGGGCGGCATCTGGGGTGCCGCGTAGCCGCTGGGGGCTCTGGGCTGTGGAGGCGTCGGGCGTGGTCCGACTGGCGGGCATGGGCCACCAGGGTACTGCTGCATGTACTCCTGCATCTTCACCATCTGGTAAACCATCTGTTGGTTCTGCAACTGGAGTTGTGCATATGCCGTTGCTCCGGAGCGGTTTTGCTCCTGCAGAGTTGCAATCGTCTGGGCGGCCGCTGTGTTCTTCGATCCTGTCCTCGATGTATCCATTCCTGAGGTATTTGTCTCTGCACCTGGAAGAATGTCCCTGAGCTCGACTGCAATCTTGGATTCGATCTCCGCCAGCGCTGACTTGGTATCCGCAATATCGTCCTCGATCTCCTGAACTTGCGTCTCCAGCAGGGCGATACGGCATTTTGTATTCTTCAGGTCCTCCATCTTGGCTGTCAATCGTGCCATATGTTCTGCTTTCGCTTCGCTCAGCGGCTTCAGCTGGTCCAGGGAGTACAGTAGCATGCCCATCTCCTCTTTCAACTCCTCGTCTGACTTCCTCGCTCTGACCGCCTGTACTGCCAGCCGAGCCAGCACCATCATACGCGTCTTCACTCGATCTCGGAACTGGCTGTGCATTCGGCGGTCCTCTGGAGGTTCCCACTTGGCCCAATCTTCGTGCGACTCGGCAATATGTTTCAGGGCAGGAACCACTCTCTCGATGAGCTTGCGAGCCGCTTTGTCCAGGCCATCTCGGTCGGGTTTGCGCTCCTGCTGGGAGCGGTCTCGCCCTGGCCTCTTCTTGGGCGCGGGGTTGTTGCCTCCCCACTGTCCTTTGTGGCGAGAAACGCTCCTGCTGGGTCTCCGCCGCTTGTCGAACGATGAACCACACGATGAGCATTCCCATTGCCATCCTGGCTGGTGCTGTCCGCATCTGCACGTCCATCCTGGGGCTCCAGTACTCATTTCTTCCGTACTTGGATGCCTGTGAGCACTGTGGTGCCCTTGCAGCAGCTTCACCGCCTGATATACCCGCAGAAGAGTACGGGCGTCTGCTCTTTGTCGACGCCGTCGTCGATGCCAGGCAGGTTCGCGCTGCTGGGAGCGAGAACGGCGATCTGAGCTGTCTGAATCAGAAATTGTAACAGTACTGTTATCAGTCGTGGCTGGCGTGCGAGTGCCAACACACGTGAGGTCAGAGCTCCTGCGGGCGGCCTCCCTAGGCGCCCACTCGAACCCAAACCTCCTCCTCCTCCTCCTCCTCCTCCTCCCCTCCTCCTCCTCCTCCTCCTCCTCCTCCTCCTCCTCCTCCTCCTCCTCCCCCTCCTCCGCCTCCTCCCCTCCCCCCTCCTCCTCCTCCTCCTCCTCCTCCTCCTCCTCCTCCTCCTCCTCCTCCTCCTCCTCCTCCTCCTCCTCCTCCTCCTCCCTCCATTCTCGCCCTCCTAGTTTTCTTCCTCTTCCCTTCCTCGTGACGTCGCCGTCCCCTGTGGGGCTGCGATCTGCGAAAGTGGCGCCTTTTTTCGTGGGCTCCTGCGGGGTTCAGCGTGGGCTCCTGGGAGGTCCAACGGAGGGGTGTCCCACACAGATCCCCATGAGACCTCGCCGTCCCTTGGGGGGCTGCGATCTGCGAAAGTGGCGCCTTTTTTCGTGGGCTCCTGCGGGGTTCAGCGGAGGGAGGTCCCACAGGGACCACCATGATACCTCGCCGTCCCCTGGTGGGCTGCGATCTGCGAAATTGGCGCCACATTCGTAGGCTCTAGGGAGGTCCAGCGCTGGGGGGTCCCACGCAGATCCCCATGGAACCTCGCCGTCCCCTGGAGGGCTGCCATCTGCGAAACTGGCGCCTTTTTCGTTGGCCCCTAAAGGTCCAGCGCTGGGGGGCCCCACGCAGATCCCCATGAGACCTCCCCGTCCCTGGGGGGCTGCGATCTGTGAAACTGTCGCAACTTTCGTGGGCTCTCTGGAGGTCCAGCGGAGGGTCCCACGCTGATCACCACGAGACCTCGCCGTCCCTGGGGGGGCTGCGATCTGTGAAACTGTCTCCACTTTCGTGGGCCCCCCCGGGAGGTCCAGCGGAGGGGGGTCACACGCGGATCCCCGTGAGACCTCGCGAGCCTTCTCTTCGTCCTCCGATTGCCCCTCCCTCCTCGCCCTTTTCTGAAGTCGGGCATGCCCTTCCTACGGGAGGGAATTTGGAGCATTGACAAAAATACTCAAAGGGCGATGGTTCGTGTTTTGTTGTAGACTATTATTGAGCTTTGCTGATTGTTTTTAAATTTTCTTCAAAAGCAACGCCTGTGGGAGGACATGCCCGATCTGACCCTTATCTTTGGACGCTAAGGGATGTAGGTGTGTGCGGGGCGAGCCTCCCACTAAAATGGGTCCCTCTCGCTACGTACGCACAGCAACATTCGAAGAACAGGAGACTTCAGAAGCATACGTGTTCCCTGGTCCGCGCGGATTTCTTGGATACGAACTGCCCCCCCCCTCCCTGGCAGCCTCTTGTCTGATCTGCGGCAAGGGGCGTGCGCACTTCCTCCCAGGGGGGGGGAAGTGAGAACTGGGCATCGATCGGACGTGTGCATGACCTTCTCGGCGAGGACCGTCAAGCATCCTGGATCCTCGAGCCGATAACCAAAAACAAACGCACGTCATCGAAACATGCACGGGGACCAAAAGTCCGAGCGATGGCAAGAGAAGGCGGCGGGGCCCTTCGGCCTTCTGAGAGATGTCGTGCATCGTCGGGCAAGGCTCAGAGAACTTCACAGGAGGCCGTGGGACTTCCGAGCCTTCTGCGAAGGTTTTCTCCTTCTAACTTCCCCCCACGCCTCGCTCGCCGCAGATGCCGCAGGCCTAGAGGTTGACACCAACACCGAGATTGGCGGTGTGCCTCCACCGAAGGAAGACGCTCCCGATCTCGGTGATGGTGGTAATACTCTGGCTTCCAAGGCTTACCACCGACACCGAAATTTAGGATCATCTTCCCCATGTGGAGGCAAACCCCCTGTGCTGGTGCTGGTGCCAATTTCCAGGACTCCAACGATGCTCGTCCACTGGGCCCCGGGTGCTGCCTCCCGGGCGGCGGTGCTGGCCTCCTCGTGGCAGCGGCAGGGAGGATCTCTCCCTCCCGGGTCGGAGCCCTCATGGAGGGGCCTCTCGGGCGCCACGCGTCGCAGCCCTCCGACGAGGAGGCTTTCGGGTGCCTCGGGCCCGCCTTTCGCCACGAGGCCGGCCGGGGGGCGGAGGCGGCCGCTGGGCCTCGCAGGCTCGGCCTGCCCATCGCCAGCGGCTACGGCGCCGCGCCCTACCTGCTGGAGCAGCTGCGCGACGCGGGCCTGGACGTGGCAGAGGCCCGCCGCTGGTGGTTCTTCCCCGCCGCCGCCGACGCTGCCGCTGGCGTCGTCGGCCGCCGCCGCCGTCGCGCTCGCCGCCGTCGCCGGCGCCGTTTTGGCCACCGCGCCGTCGCGTTCGCCACCTTGGCCGTGGCCGCCGCCGCCGCCGTCGCCGCCGCCGCCGAGGTCGCCGCGGCCGCCGCCGTCGACGCGCTCGACGCCGCGCAGGGGAGCGCGCGAGTCGAGGCAGCGGTTTCGGTGGCCGTCGAGAGGCCCCCCTCGTCGGCCCGGCTTGGCGCAGGTAGGAAAGTTGGTGCGTTTTTGGATCCAGGAGGCTTCCAAGAGCAGTGGGCCGATCTTGAGTCGCCTTGCGCCGAGCCGCTGCCGACGGTCGTCGTCATGGTCGTCGTCGGCGTCGTCGTCGGAGGGGTGGGGAGGAGGGGGATGGGGGGAGATGCCGAGGAGGAAGGGGGCAGAGGAGGAGGAGGAGGAGGAGAAGGAAGTGTAGGGCTTCTGCCATCGTGTAGGGATCACGTGCACCGCCTGTCGACATAGGCCGCCACACACCCGAAGAAGCACGGTATCTTCAATGCCACTCGACAGAATTGCATGCGCATATTGCCTCCCAACACGCAAGCGGCAACACATAATGGCCGTACTCGCGCCGCGAGGGACACCAGTGAGTGACAAGAAGAGGCCACACAGCATTGATGTTTCGTTTAGTTTGTGAGGGGCATCGGCACCGCTAGCAGCGTGCTTGCAAGACACAAGTGGAGAGCGAATGAATAGCCAGACGGAATGCGCGGCTGGAAAATTGTAAACAACGTTCGTAACATGCATCAAGGGCGAAAAAAACACCCGGACCGGACAATTGGCGCTTACTCAACGGCCGTGGGCGTTTATTAAACAGCCTTGCCCTGTTCGAGTCCTGGGGTGGATTTATTTAGTTCTAACACAAACCGAAGACGGTAGCGCCCGTCGAGGTAGGCTGTCGTGCCATCCAAGTCGTACGGCTACATCCCGCACTGCAGAGGTGCATGCACCCTCCGCTTCCCAGACCTCACGATTGAAATACCGGGGGTGGACAGACCTACCCTGACACGTCGATTAGCGAATTGGCCGTTTTCGGTTCGCGAGAGGGCGTCGCGGCCGTCATTTTTGCGGGTCCAGGTCCGTCGGTTTCGGTCCTAGGCCGTTTTCACCAAAGGTTGGTTGATTAAAGGGAGGTTTGTCCACCGCCGAAACTACAATCCCACGGAGATACTATGAACAACAACCTGGGTAGAACTCAAAACACAACACTGGAACGCGGGAGGTGCACTGCGATTCCACGACCACCCAGCATCCAAACAAGATATTTGCACGCCCGGGGGGTGGTAGAAAAAGCCACCCGAGCCCCTGGGACGGGAAAAAATCGAAACACGGCTTGACCCGCACATGTTGATTGGCTGATCCTTCGCCTTCGCCACACCGTGCTCCGGGAACAGGGGGCCACATGCGAACCCTACCCCTACCCCCTACGATTTCTGAGGGGGAGGGTGGGGTTCACTTCGCTGGGGAGCTCCTGAGCGAAGTGAACCCCACCATCCCCCTCAGAAATCGTGGGGGGTAGGGGTCGCATGTGGCCCCCTAGGGAGCGCCTTGCTGTCTGTGGTCCAGCGATAGCCCGGGTCGTAAGGGTGACTTTTAAGACTCTGTGACGTGATGTGTCTTCGGTGCATGCGTAGATCAGCGTTGTGTTTTTTCATATACGTGATGTAGTTGTATATGTAGATGCTGATGCAGAGGTTAACGATGATGTTGGTGTAGCTGTTGTCCTCTCGGTTTCCCCATTGTCTCTTGTCCTCTTGGTTTCCCCATTGTCTATTGTTCTCTTCGTTTCCCCATTGTCTCTTGTCATCTTGGTCCTCCGATACCCGATGCCTATCGGCCCATCGGTCGTTGAAAGTAGGTATTCTTGGAGTACCAGGTTCTGATCTACTCTCGGCGCCTTCCTACTTCAATGATCGAGCGGCTGGGAACAAAAAGTGACATAAACATAAAAACTCGGAGGGCCGCGCGGATTTTCCGGGACCGGCGCTGGACCCCCCTCCCTGGCGCGCGGAGCGGCCAGGGGCGGCGCCGGAGGCGCCGCTGGTGGGCCCCAGCGCCGATCCGAGAAATCCGCGCGGACCTCTGAGTTGTAATGTTAATGTCACTTGTTGTTTCCCTATTCTCCGTCCTCTTGGGGCGAGCGGACACCCACTCTGCTGCCAACGCCTCCCTGCTTCATGCTTCTATCTACTTCTTCCGACCGATGGGTAACCTGAGCTTGTCGATTGCGCAGGTCCGGATGATGTACGCAGTATTGGTGCGCGCGTGCATGCGTGGGGCTGCCCGACTACCGGAACGCTTAGGTTATCGGCCGGCACTTCCCCTTCTACCCCCCCCCGTCGGATAATCCGAGCCAGCGCCGGAAAGCGCAAAGCGATCGATTTGCTCCTGGGAGGCAGCTCCAGTCGGGCGCACGGCAACGGGGGGGCACTAGGCGTGGGGGGAAGGAGGATTGCAGGCAAAGTGGACCCAATGGCGCCCGAGACGGCCCCTCACAACCGCCACCGCAGGACCCTCACAGGTTTCACTCCAATCTTACCACTCCGATCCGATGTCCAGTTCGGCCAGCCCGATCCGATTCGATTCCGGTGTCCCGTCGATCCGGGGCGGCCCGATGCCTCGAATGGCGTCGTTGTACATCCTGGCACGGCCGATGCGGTTTGAACCCGGCTCCATGCCGATGCGACCCCAACCATGCCAGGCGCACATGCCGATACGAGTCCATCTCCCGATTCGATGCCGAGTGTTCATGCCAAAAGGTGGGCGAAGGGGGCTCGCGTTTCTTCGCCCCGCGCGTGCTGCCCCCCCGTTACCAGCCTGAAGCATCCCCATCCCCGTGAGCGGCATTACCCTGGCTCTGTGTCGATAGTGGAGACCCAGAGATCCAACGTATTAAAAAGATCATGCTGGAAGTCTTTCACAGTTTTCGGCCTCTAGGGGCCCTTACCAGGCCTCGGGGCCGTCATGAAACGACGCAGGATGAAAAAAACAGTCCTGGGGAATGGGTCGAGACTTCCTGGAACCCCGTAATTATCGAAAAAAACACGACATGGGATCTCTGGAGAGTTTGCCCGGTTTTTTGCATTCATTACGCATGTTGGAAGCTTTAACCTCGCTTACACGCTGACCCTGTGGCCTAACTCAGGCCCCCAGTCTTGATGGATATACCTAAGCAGGTAGGTGATTCATTGGTCCGAAAGATACCCGTACCCGGGGCCAGCCAAGGTGAGATGGGCCGTCCGAGGGATTGGGCGCTTGCTGTTGTGCCCGGTCAGCTTGCCCCGCGCGCGCCAGTGCAGCATCCGCGCGTCAAGACGCAACGGCGCGTTCGATGGTTGGGTGTCTGATTGCAGCGAGAAGCGCTGGTTTTTGTTAGGGACGTCTCGGGGCATCGTGGTGCGCGCGCGGCTCAAAGCCGCCCATGTGTGGTGGCGCCTGTCCCAATCGATAAAGAGTTGCATTTCCTCGTTATCCTGGCAACCAATGCGTCTGGGCCTGCCCAACAGGAACGACGTTGCAATGTCGCGCCCCCAGGGGGCCGCTGCAGCGGCCACGTCGGGGACGGTTCTGGAGGGCATGATATGTGATCGAGAGCGTTTTGGGCCTGCCGCCACCTCGGCTAGGTACGGGGACCTGCCTGGAACCACCGGAACATACCCGGACCGAGCTGGGGTGGAGCTGCGGCACCCCGGCTAGGTACGGGTATGTTTTTTTGGTGTTCACGGGGCAACCGTACCCAGCTGGGGTGATCCGCGGACGGCCGTCCAAGGGGGGCGGCCTCTGGCGACCTCGCCCAGGGCACAGATTCGCGATGTCTCTGCATCGAGCAATTCGCGATAGGGCGGTTGTCGCGTAATGACGTTCGCGTCAGAGTTGTTCGCATGCGCCCCCGAGTGCGCGTTGACTCCTCTACGCCCGGATGTGTGTCTGGGGGCGCGCCTCCGAAGTAGCTGGTCTACATCGACAACAACCAACGCAGGGTCGGGCATTCCGCCGATTTGAACGCACGTGCGATCGGTGCTAACGTGCGCCCCGAGAAGACAGCGGTCTGTAATGCTCGATCGGCTGTCGTTTCTACACTTGTGCAGCCGCCGTCAGCTGCGACGAACCGCCCCGCCGGCCCCCTGCCACCCTGTCTAGGTAAGGGTACGGGTACCTTTCGCGCTCGAGAGTGATGTGGTTTGTGTAATCTACAACATATACCCTATCCCGATCGTTTTTGGCCGTCGCGATTCAGGTCCCAAGGGGCAGTTCTTATCATCAAGGGGTATCTCTGATATTGACCGTTTCGGGCTCGCCGATCGTAGGAATAGGGATAACCTATGCCTCCCAAGTGGGGTCCGAGTAGATGGGGCCCGAGCATCGCGCCGCATCGCCGATGCGCCGGCGATGCGGTCCGATGTGGATCCCGATTTCCTCTTCACGGCGACCGGGTCGATCTACCGCTGGCGTCGCCGTTGCATCGCCGAGGCATCGGCGATGCCGATGTGTCGCCGATGTCTGGGCGATGCGGCGCGATCCTCCGACCCCATTTGCTACTCAGACATCTGGCCCTCCCAATTCTTTCGATGCGTGGCAGGCTGTTCGTTCTGAGTCATTTTGTGGACGGTCCCGAGGCCCAGCGAGGGCCCGCGAAGACCGCAAATTGCAAAACGTTGACACATTTTTTGTTTGTTTCGTTCGGGAGCGTCGGCGTCCTGGGTGGGACCCCGTCCTGCGCCTTCCATCCGGCCGACGTTGGCTACCCCGTGGACGACCGCCCACGGACATTGACACGGCGTGCGTCACCACGCTCGAGAATTAAGTCGTGTACGTATCTCTACAAAAAGAATAATCGAGCACAAAGTATGGGGCCGTTTTTTGTTGGTCTTTCCTGACCATTTTGGAATAGTTGTTGCATATGTTGTATTGGTCGTCCAGAATTCCTTCCCCTGTAGGAAGGCATGTCCGATCGAACTCGAGAGTGGCTGAGAGCAGGGCCGGCCAGCCGCAGCGCGCAATCGCTCGCCTCAGGTGGAGCTGGCGGATTTCGACCACTCGGGCCAGATCAACACCCTCAACGAGTCCGAGGCTGGTCGGCGTCGGAGTGCGCGGCCTGCGTCGTCGTCGTCGTCCTTTGCGATGTTTCTCCGTCGGCCAAATCGGGCCTGTCCCTCCACAGGAGGAATCTGTTCAAAATAATAAGCAAAAATGGTGTGGGAGCGATTTTTCGACCAGGTTTGACGATTGTTCCGCATTTGTTGATTTGTTTTTGTCCTCCAAGCTCCGCCTGCAGGAGGACATGCCCGCTCCAACTCTTCGGGCGCGTAACGCTCGCTATCCGGGCCAAGCCACGCCCCCCGGGCCAAGCCACACCCCACTCATTCCGAGCTCCGAGGCCGGTCGGCCTCGGCACTCGGAGGAGGAAGAGCGTACCTACACTGCTGCTCTGCTCTCGTTCTCCCCCTTGTGGGCCTCTTTGGGAGGCCCTCGTCGCCACCGCTGGATTCGCTTCGAGATTCTGGTCAGAACGCATCCCGGCAGACGGGGAGTACAGCGGTATCGGTCTTCGTCGCCGTGGGAGTTCTTTGTGTATCCTCGGGCACGTAACGCCTGCTATCTGGGCCAAACCACGCCCCCCCTTGGGCAACGGTATAACAATCGCACGTCCAGTGGAATATCATGCAAAGAAACGCCCTGCTTGCCTCCAGGGTGTTCTGAGTTTCTTTGTCTTCGCTGGTTTTTGCTATGGAAAGCGTGACGCTCCCACACCAAAAACCAGCGGACGTCCTGGGGTTTCAGAGTTGTGTTTCTTGTGGAGGTTTCTTGTGGTCGAGTTCCTGCTGTAGGGGGCGGGTCTGGATTCCCCCGGACGTGCTGGTGCTCGCGCGCATACGAGCGGCGACCGCAGCGCATATCCGCCCTCAAGTGCCACACGCCGCCCAAGCGTTAGTTTCTGTCACCCCGGAGGCCCTCGGAGCGCGCGGCCTGCGTCGTTTCGCCATGAAGGGAGCGGTTCACGTCGCCGATCCGCGAGGATGCTCCACGAATTCACGCTGATCACCCAGAGCCCGTCGCGTTGCGAAATTATCACGACGGGATGTTTTTCGCTACTTTCGGCCTCTTGGGGCCCTTACCCGGCCTCGGCATTGTCAAAACACGATTCAGGATGAAAAATTGTTCCCGGGGAAGGGTTCGAGACCTCTGGGAGTCGACGCTGTGAGAAAATCACGACGTCGGGGGTCTGGGCAAGATGGACGATGATCAAAGTCGATGCCGAAATTTCGCAATCAGTCTTGGTTGTGGTTTCCGTGTTTCTTTCCTTCCACGTGTCGTCGTCGTCGTCCACGTCGTCCTCGCAGTTTCGAGGAAGCGCAAGCATGGATCACAAGACGCGTGAGTGAGCGACGGGTTCCTTCTTCAATGCAGGATCGACGCGTTCTGTCGACAAACGAGACGACACTGGCTTCATTTTAGGGGGGTAGTTTCCCCTGTCCGTGGATCTGGCGCCCACGCCAGATCTACGGATCCCGGAATCCACATCATCGTGCGCCCAATAGTCAATAGTCGTCGTCGACCGAGTCGTTGGCTTCGTAGTCGTTTGGTCGTCGTCGTCGCCATCACCGTCGTCTTCGTTGTTCTTGTCGTCGTTGCATCTTACTACGTCTATTAGCACTACTACGACGATGACGACTACCCACTACGACTACGACGACGACGACTACTATTATTACTTGTACATTCACTTCGATCACTACTTATACCACTACGACTACGACTACGACGACTATTACTACAACTACGATTACTACTAGCACTACTACGAACTCCTATGATTCCTAATTTTAATTCGTTATCTACTATTACTATTACTACCACTACTACTATTACTACTACTACTACTACTACTACTACTACTACCACTACTACGACTACTACTTCTACTACTAGCGGAACTACTGCGACCATATCTACTACTACTTCTACCACGACTACGATTACTACTACTACTACTACTACTACTACTACTGCTGCTAAGACCAGTAATGCTACTTTTACCACGACTAGTACGACTACGATTACCAGTATTACCATGAAAACTATTACTACTACTGCGGCTACTACTACTGCTACCAGTACCACTACCACTACTAACACTGCTACCCTTGCGACTGCTATCATTACTCTTACTACTACTACTACTACTACTACTACTACTACTACTGCTACTACTACGACGGATAGTACGACCACTACTACGACTATTGCTGCTGCTGCTTCTGCCACCTACCAATACTACTACTACTACTACTACTACTACTACTACTACTGCTACTGCTGCTGCTGCTGCTGCTGCTGCTGCTGCTGCTGCTGCTTCTGCTACTACTACTAGTATTACGACGGAAACTATGCGGCAGTTACCAACGCTTCTCTGGCTATTCTTCCTACTACTACGACTGCTCCTGCTATCACTACTTCTACTACGACTACTGCTGCACCGACTCCCACTACTACAAGACTACGACTACGACTACGACGACTACTACTACTACTACTACTACTACGACTACTACTACTACTACTACTACTACCAGTACTACTACTACTACTACTACTACTACTACTACTACTACTACTACTACTACTACTACTACGACTACTACTACTACTAGTACTAGTACTAGTATTACTACGACTACTACTACTACTACTACTACTACTGCTGCTGCTACTGCTACTGCTACCACCATTACTACTGCGACGACAAGTGCGTCTACTACCACGGCTACTTGACATGCTCACGGTATTGTTGTTTCTACTAATACCACCACGATTGTCTTTATTATTCCCCACTTAGGCTCTACCTAGAAGGGTTCTTACTCGGTGTGCTTAAAGGGCCGGGCAGTGGAACACGCCCCGGGCGGTTCCCCCAGTATCCGCCCCGCGGTTCCCCCAGTTACGTCCCCTTAGCTTAGCGTTGCTTATCTCATCTTAGTTTAGCTTATTTCACCTTAGCAAGCTTAGCTTCATCTTAGCTCAGGTTTATCTTAGCTAGCTTACCTTCATCTTAGCTTCGCTGAGATTTAGCAGAGCACAGCATAGCATAGCGTAGCGTAGTATAGCATGGCGCAGCACAGCACATCATAGCATAGCCCAGCATAGCATAGCATAGCATAGCATAGCATACCATAGCATAGCATAGCATAGCATAGCGCAGCACAGCACAGTACAGCATAGCACAGCGCAGCATAGCATAGCATAGCATAGCATGGCGCAGCATAGCATTGCATATCATAGCATAGCATAGCATAGCAGAGCGCAGCCTAGCATGGCATAGCATAGCATAGCATATCATACTATAGAACTAATGCTGCTTTCCTAGGGGCTCCAACTTCTAGGTATGGTCATACTGGGGTACTTATTATAACTAGGGTTACGACTACGATCCTTATTATTAGTATGTTTGTTTTTTACCTGTACTACGGCTGCTACTGCTACTGCTACTACTACTACTACTACTACTACTACCACTACTACTACTACTACTACGACGACGACGACGATCAATACTACTGCTGCTATTGATCTTGTTGGTACTACTTCCGCTACTTGTGTATCTCGTTTCTTCGTATCAGTACTGGCACTAATTCCGTTACTACTTCTACGACTACTACTACTACTACTACTACTTCTACTACTACTACTACTACTACTACTACTACTACTACTACTACTACTACTACGACTACTATTTTTACCACTACTACTACTACTACTACAACCACTACTACTCCTACTACTACTACTGCTACTTCTACTAGTGCTACTAGTCCTACTTCTACTGCTACTAGCACTACCATTGCCACTACTATGACCACTACCATTACGATTCTCACTATTATTGTTATGGCATGTTATTATTGTTTTAACTCCGACCCCTACTCGTACTACTGCTAATTCTCGTACTACGACTACTACTACTACTGCTACTACTACGACTACGACTACTACTACTACTATTGTTACTACCACTACTACTACGACTACTACAACTACACGGCGATCACTACTACTCGTACAACTTCTACTACTACTACCCCTACGACTACTCCTACTAGTACTACTACGACTACTACTATCACTACTACCACTATTACTACTATTACTACTACTACTACTACTACTACTACTACTACTACCACTACTACTACTACTACTACTACTACTACTACTACTACTACTACGGCGACGATTACTACTATTACTACGACGAGGAACATTATCAGAGAAAAACCAGCACGGCGAACAATATTGGGCAAACAATTTTGCCGCCGACCCCCCCACCTGGTTGCCAAGCCCGAGCTCTGGTGAGGGGGCGAGCAGCATTTACACTCGTCCTGCGGTCAGCTATACACGCCGTTGGGTCGGCCAAGGGGCCCATTCACTCGGAGAATGAGTTCGGTGTATAGAAGCTACAGAGTCCCACATATTCGTCAGTTGGGGCGTCTTTGCACAGAACACCTTGGCTGACCCAACGATGCCGCGGTATACATCGAGCCCCTCCCAGACGACGTCCCCAAAGAGCTTGAAGACGCCCGGAGACCTCGACCTTCGATATACGACGTGGTTACAGCAAAGCGCCCATTCTAGCTCGATCGAGTCGACTTCGAGTTTGCAGTGCTCCACGGATTCGATGACGATACGAACCGATGCTTGCATGGCGCCATTGTCAATCGCCGCGCGTCCGATCCGATTCGAGTTCTAGTCCGTGTCCGATACGGCCCCAGTCCGACCGGACTCGATGCGGCAGCGTTGCGTTGCTGCTGCAGCCCGCTCCAGGTCTCGCGACCCCGCCGCTCCCATTCGCAGGCGACTTCTTCTCCCCCAGTACCCGAGTTCCTCCCGGAACGTTTGACCGCTCAATCATGGGGAAGCTCGGGGATACACCCCCAGTGGGCTAATTGCTCGCACTTCTCTCGAGCACGCACGCCCCCCTATCGTGCATCCACGTCTGTGGTCCAGTCGAAAACTGCACGAAACCCGGGATAGTCTGGGCCTCCTGGATGGGGTCGAGTAGATGGGGTCGGAGGTTCGCGCAGCATCGTCGATGCATCGGCGAGGTGCCTCGATGTGGAGCCCGATTTTCTCCTCGCTGGAGTCGCCAATGCATCGCTGATGTCGCCGATCCCTCGTCGATGCATCGTCGATGCAACGCCGATGCGGCGCCATCCTTCGACCCCATCTACTCCGACCCCATCTAGGAGGCCCCTCGACAGGGGTCCACGCATCCCCCGGTGCCCCGGTCTCGCGACCCCGCCGGCCCCCCCCGGAGGCGTCGAGCCGCGTCGCCCGGCGGCCTCTCCTAGGGATGACGGCCCTCGCTATGTCTTGGCTTCAGTCTGGCGTGTCCTCCCACAGGCGGAATCTGAACAAAAACAAAGCAGAAACAAATTCAGAACGAGTCCAACATCGGAAATACTAGATTTGTTGATTGTTTCTGATGACAAACACAGAAACAAGTAATCGTCGACTCCCAGAATATATGCAAAAATGTGGGAAGAGGGGGGGAAGACGAAAACCCCAAACATATTGGAAGATATGGGGGATCCTTCATTTTGTGTGTCATTATTTTTGTGTGTCCCTGGGCCCCTTGAGAGCTTTCCTCCTGTGGGGAGTCGCCCGCCGTGAATCTCGGCCTGCGCGCCGGAGCGGCCCTTCGCCGGGGGGCGGCCTCCGGTGCGCTGCGCTCGGGGAGCGCGGTGGAGGGCGAGGGCTGCCAAGCAGAGGAGGGGAAGGCAAGGTCCGAGTCTGCAGTAAGGTCAAGTCGGGCCTGTCCCTCTACAGGGGGGAGATTCAAGAACAGTCAAGGAGTAGTCTGGGGACTATTTTTGGAGCATTTTGTTGGCATCTTTGGAGTATCTCTGAATATTCTGTACTTTTCGTGGGAAATCCCCCTGTAGGGGGACACGCCCGACTTAACAGTAAGGGCGCGCTGCAGGGACACAATCGGAGAAGAACAAAACCACAGATCGCAGGCCTAGAGATCGACACAAACACTAAGATCGGCGGTGTGCATCCACCAAGGGAAGGAGATCCCGATCTCGGCGATGGTGGTAATATTCTTGCTTCGAAGGTGACCGAAATATTACCACCAACACCGAAATCTAACATCATCTTCCCCCTGTGGAGGCAACCCCCTCTGTTGGTGTTGGTGCCCATTCCCAGGCCTCCAAACATAAACGTAAACTTTGGCGCTCCGCGCGGGTGTCTTGGAACCGCGAATGGCCTCCCCCCCCGGCGCGCCGGGGAGCAGCGGTATCGGTACCTTGTTGGATTTCCCAACAGAGGCGGGCGATGTTTGGAGAGGGGTGTGGTGAGGCGTGGATGTCATGGCCGCGTCCCTGATGCATCCCAAGATTTCAGGACGCCTCTTATGTTCTCAATGCGTTCCTCGGCCCCCCATGGCCCGCGCACGGGCGCCTCCCGCTGTGGACGCCCCCGAACAGGGCAAGCCCGAGCACGCCAGCCTCTGCCCTGGGAATGGGGGCAAACGGTTAAGAAAATGCCCCGCCCCACCCCCCCGTCCCGCGGGCCCCAAAATGAATGAGTGGGGCAGACTCATAGAACTCAACCGCCGGAACATGTTTTTTTGATCGTCTGTCCCCCCGGCGTTTTATTTTGCCGCCTTGCAGAAACTGATTGTCTATTCGTCCTCCTGCGTTCGTTTGATCACCCGCGGCCGCGGGAGGAGGATTGCGGAGAGGGGGCGCTGGAAGCGCCGCTAGGGAGTCCCAGCGCAGATCCAGGACATCCACGGAGGACCGCCAAAAGTTTATGTTTATATGTTTGTTTCATCCCCGAGTTAAGAACCAACCTGAGGACGGCCCAACTATCGTCCTCGTGGACGGCGGCTGGAGCTTGAAAATGAGGCCAACGATGCGGTTTGAAACAGGATGGCTCGTGTACTATGCTCGTTCGAGAGGACGGAGCAAGTTTTAAGCGTAAAGTTGAAGGGAGAGTCCAGACAGAGAGAGAGAGAGAGAGAACAAGAGAAATAGAGAGAGAGAGTGAGAGACACAAAAAGGAAACGACGACAGAGACAGATGTAGAGACCCATGTGCATTGAGAGGGGGACAGAGAGGGCTCCGTTCCGCAATAATGAAGAGCAGCCTCACTTCACGCAGCCGTTGGACATCGTCCAACGTTCTGGTCATCAAGGTAAAGGGAGCATCCTGATATTGACCCGCCTTAAACAATAACCCACGTCCATCCGTGTGATTGGTGCGCATGTTTGAAAACCAGGTCGTACAATATGAAGGGGGGTAAGCGACAACCTCACTGTAGAAGAACAGTGGTCGTCCTGTGCAGCTGCAGGATGACGACTGTGTGCGTGTGTTAATGTGGCGTAGAGCCTCATGGTTAAACACCAAACGCCTCCACCTGTGTGACTACGGCAAGATTGTAAGTCGCATGTGTGCAGCGCTAGAGGCGTGAGCCTCATTTTAAACAGGAGCCGTCATCCATTCGTGTCGTCGTTGGAAGCTTGTAAGGCGGATGCGCACTGCAATAAAGCGAGGGCCTCAATTTGAGTTTCGAGCGCATCCCAGCGGGGTAGTTGTTGAAGTTCCCAGCTGCGACCTCCAGCGATCAGCCCGGACCGCCCTGCGTACCGCCGCGTCTGGTGGTGTGACGGGAGAGTTCTGTGCATCAGGAGCGTTTGTTCAATGTTGCCTTGCGGGTTCTGTCTAGGCTTCCTACATGGGGTCGGAGTAGATCGGGTCAGAGGATCGCTCCGCATCGCCGATGCATCGCCGATGCGGCTCGATGTGGAGCACGATTGTCTCCACGCCGTCGTCGCCGATGCATCGCCGACGTCGCCAATGCATCGTCGATGCATCGCCGATGCATCGGCGACGCGGCGCGATCCTCCGACCCCATCTACTGAGACCCCATCTAGGAGGCTTCTATTCTGGCCCGCCGCGCTTCGGCGCAACATGTTGAGAACGGTCTTTTTGTTCCCGTGCATCCACTATCCGAGTTGTTCCCAGCCTCCCGTCGGGCGAAGCAGAGTGTCATGCCACTCGCGTTCAAGGCGTCGGGTGTCGCGGTGGCCGCCGCCGCGATACGCCAAGCACATGTTCTTCACCGCGGAAGGAATAAGGGATGTCGGAGGAGGAGGAGGAGGAGGAGGAGGAGGAGGAGGGGGAGGAGAGAGGAGATTTGGAGATTTGTAGTGCTCTGGGCGTGGGGCTCCCCGGATGCTACATGTTGGGCCGCGGCGCGCCAGGAGCACGCACCTCGGGCCCACGATGCGACGGTCTCACAGGGGGGAGCGGGCGTCGTCCTCTCGGGCTTCCGCCCCCATCCGCCCTCCCCTCGCCCTCTCTGCTCCTCTCCCGCCTGCTCCTGGCCTCTCTCTCTTCGCTCCCCTGGTCCTGCCCTCCTGGCCTGCTGCTTCTCCTGGGTGGCGCTCCTCTCTCGCCTCCGTCGTCCTCGTGATCGGGCGCCTGCCTCGTAGCCTTGCTCAGGCCGCTGCCGCGCAGGAGGCGCTGCACGCAGAGAATGCGTGCTGCGCCGTCGGCAGCCCGCCTCGCCCTAGCCCATCCTTAAAACCGAACGATGCGAGTTCTGTCCATACTGTTGTGTGCGTCTCCCCTGTGGGCTCTGCGCAGGGTCCACGAGTCTCTGCATGGCAGCAGTCCGCCAGAGGAGCGGGCCTCCCCGAGTCCCGATCCGCACGACCACCTCAGTGCTGAAGGTGCTGCCATGGCGGCGCACCACGCCCGTGAGCGCGGTGGTATCCACGAGGAGCGAGCGCGGCACCCCGTGCTCTCGTCGTGCAGCTACGACAAGAGCAGGCTGGTGGTCTGGTGGCGCCAGGGCGTGTTTCAGGACAGGGAGCACAGGGACGTGGAGTACCCTGCCTGTGACGTGATTCCTCTCGCTTCGCGGGGTGCACGTCCGGGACGGGTGAGGAGGAGGAGGGGGAGGAGGAGGCTGAGGAGGCGGTCTGGGCGTTGTCCGGTTTGCTCCACTCGGCTGCCGTGCTGGTCTGCCGTTGCCGTTCTGCTGTTTTGGGGTGCTTCGGTGCCTCTTGCAGGCAGCTTGGAGGAGGAGTCTTTTCAGCCTCGTGGGGCCATTCTGAGGGAGGAGGCGCCCGGGGCCAGCTTGCTGTCCCCCTTCGCGGCCCCTCTCGGGGCCCTCACGGGGGCATCTGGGGCCGCAGTTGTTGGGGCTTGTCTTGGGGCCCTCTTGGGGGGGGCGGCCCTTGTGGCCCGACCCGGGGCCCTATTTGGGGGGCTCGTGAGCCGTCCAGGCACGAGCTCTGGAGCTTCCGTGGCCTGCTTGGACTCCTGCCGAAGGCGAGAACAGAAAAGCGATTGTGTTCTGCCCCATCAAGCCCCCATGCGGGTCCCCATTGGGGCGCTTTGAGGGCGTCTGGGGGGCCTCTTGGGCCATCCTGAGGCAGTCTCGGTCCCTTCGGGAGCCTCTCGGGCGCTTTCGGAGCCGCCTTGGTCGTTCAAGAGGCCCAGGAGGCCGGTTCACTCATTTTCGTCATGTGTTTGCTTACGTATGAGGCCTGGATAGATCGGAGGAGTCCAGTTTGGTATGACGGACGTGGGGTGGCGCTGGTGAGGGAGGCAACGGGGGGCGAGTCAAAAGACATCAGGCGGTAAAACGAAACACGTTGTCGTTCAGCACGTCGTTCCCTCTAGCTCAGGACGTGGATTCGTCAGGTCGGCTCCAAATCCTCGGAGCCCGTGACACGTTTGAGTCTCCGCTTGCCCCTTTCAGGAGTCGGGCGCAAGGAATATCATAGTTACAATACGACGGGGGGGAGCATGAGGAAAAGGAGGAGTTGTTTGTCGCACACTCGGCGGCCCAAAACAAGAAACTGCGTGAACCTAGCGGAACACCAGTACGGGAAACATGGGACCGTTATTGTGGCAGCACGCTTCAAAATGGTTATCTTAATGGGGATGGCGCGAAGAAGGAAGAATCTATGCATACGTCATACGCGTAAATTTCTGGAGCTCCGCCGCCGATCTCTTTTATCGGCGTTGGGCCCGCCTCCTTGGCGCGCTGAGCACACCAGAGGTGCCGCCAGAGGCGCCGCAAGGTAGGCCTTGCGCGTAGATCTGGAAGTTTACACTTATATTTGTTTTTTCCCTCTGATCAACGTCGGGCCTTGAGAGAGCGCTCACCCAGATGATTCGAAACGAAATCTGAACCCGTTCACTTGACACAGGCGCACGAGGGTACCGGTGCAGTCCTCAGTCGGTGTCGCTCCTCGACGTCCGTCTCGCTGGATACATTCGGTGTTTGTGGACGTCGATTGGCTACTACCCGCTGCTGGGGTCCACCCAGAATGCTGTGCCGGGCACGGGGATGGCCCCTGTAATCTCACTCGGCGGCGAGCGAGGGGGGGGAGTGAGAAGGTGCCGGCCTTCTCAGAAGGCTCGGCCTCCCCGGGTCTTGGGAGTAGTTTCTAGAGCCTTCCCCGAAGACGCGGAAAGCCTCTCAGAAGGCGCGAGGGCTTCTGAGAACTCCCGCCGCCTTCCGAGAAGGCCTTCTCCTTCTCACTCCACCCCTTCGCTCGCCGCCGATTCATCAAAGGGCGTTTCGCTAAAGTGTGTTTTGTATCAGCTTTCGGTCAAGAGCAGCAGCGACCGAGTCCTGGCGCCCCCGCAGGGCCCATCTCGATTCGACCGATCCCCTTCGATGACAATGCCACCCAGCTCGATTCTTCGGTGGCCAATCATGGGAGCCGTGCGTACCCTCGCAATTCTTTCCTCAGCGTCGATTGGCGTCGAGTAGCGTCTGGGAGTCAATGCGATAGCGGCGATCCAGCGTCGAGAAGCGTCGATTTAGCGTCGACTAGCGTCGATACGCAAGAGCCGACAAGATGGTATGGGAGGCTCCCTTGAGTGGCCACCGGACGATCCGATTCGATTTTAATATCCTGTCGGTTCGATGCGGCCTATGCTTGCACAGCGCAGTTGTGCATCATGGCGCAACCGATCCGATTTCCGGGTGTTGCCACAAGTGCCCCTGGCCCAAGGTGCCCCCTGGATTTCCAAGGAGGCCTCCACGGCCTCCAGAGCACCCCTCGCGAGGTCCAGAGGGCCCCAGGGGCTTCAAGATTGTACGAACAGCTGGGCGCACCTTGGGCCAGGGCGCTTCTAGCAACACCCGGGACTCGATTTCGACCCCGTGCCGATCGCGGCCCGAGCCGACGCATTCCCGCTGCGAGCCGACCTTCTCCCCGAGGCGGTGCGGACGGAGCTCGGCGCCCCCCGGGGGGGGGGCTCGGCGGGCCTGCGTCGAGGCCGGCTCCCGGGAGGGGTGCAGCAAGAGGGCGGACGCGATCGTGTACCACCTGCCCGACATCCGCCGGGCCCGCCTCAAAGACCCCCCCGCTGCGCCGACCCCCTCCTCCTCCTCCTCCTCCTCCTCCTCCTCCTCCTGCTCCTGCTCCTCCTCCTCCTCCTCCTCCTCCCTCCTCCTCCTCCTCCTCCCTCCTCCCTCCTCCTCCTCTCCTCCTCCCTCCTCCTCCTCCCTCCTCCTCCTCCCTCCTCCTCCTCCTCCTCCTCCTCCTCCTCCTCCTCCAGCAGCGGCATAAAAAAACATCCTTGCTCGGAGGTGCGCGCCCCTTGCTTGGATCTGCGTCGGGCCCCCCCCCCCCCAGCGGCGCCTCTGGCGCCGCCCCCGGCGCGCTCCGCGCGCCAGGGAGAGGGGTCCAGCGCCGATCAAAGAATTCGGCGCTGGCCTCCAAGGAGTCATGTTTTATGCTGTGTTTTCATTACTCCATCCCAGGATCGAGAATCGAGGATGGTATTGTGCTGCTGCCACGTGTTCGGTGTGCCGTGTTGGCGCTGTCGGTTGTATAGCGGGGAGGATCGCGGGCAGGGGAGAATCGAGGAGGGTTGCGCTTCTGATCAGCCCTCTGAGGGCATCCGGCCGGAGAGGCTGGTTGATGTCGGGGCAAATCTCGGGGCGATCTTGGCGATCGGGTTGTTTCTCCCTCGTCCTCCTTATCCCTCTCGTATTCCTCCTTTCCCTTCCATCTCCTCCTCCTCCTCCTCACTCTCGTCCTCCTGCGTCCGTCTCCTCATCCAGATGATTCTTCCTCCTTGCTGCTTCATTCTTCCCTACCCCTCCTCTCCCCTGCTCCTGCCTCCTCCCTGCCTCACTCTTCATTTCCCCCCTGCCTCGTTCCTTCCCCTCCTCATCCTCCTCCTCCTCCTCCTCCTCCTCCTCCTCCTCCTCTTTCTTCTCCTCCTCCTCCTCCTCCTCCTCCTCCTCCTCCTCCTCCTCCTCCTACTCCCCTCCTCCTCACCTTCCTCACCCTTCGTCCAT